CAAAAAAAGAACACTACAGACCAAAATCTCTGATGAATACTGAGGCAAAAATCCTAAACAAAACACTAACAAAAGGAATACAACAGTACATTAAAAAAATAATGTATTGCGATCAAATGGGGTTCATTCCACAGACACAAGGATGGTTCAACATACACAAATCAATCAATGTAATACTCCAACTTAACAAAACAAAGAATAAAAACCGTATGATCGTATCAATAGATGCAGAAAAAGCATTTGATAAGATACAACATTCATTTATTCATTTGATAAGATACAACACTCAATAAAATGGGTATAGAAGGAAAGTAGCTCAACATAATAAAGGCCATGTATCACAAACCCTAAGCCAATATCATACTCAATGATGAAAAACTGAATGTTTTTCCTCTAAAATCAGAAAAAAAGACAAGGGTGTTCACTCACACCACTCTTATTCAACACTAGTGACCCCGTGTACAGATTTGTGCACAATGAAAGGAAATTGATAAGAAGGTGGCTGGCGGGGTGGGACTGGGCGAGATGGGCGGACACGCCCTGGAGCCAACCTCCTGTAGTCCCTCCCTGGCTGGCTGCACCTGGGGTGGCGCCATGGCTCGAAGGGCATCTGCGGAGTGAGCAGGGGTTCCTCCAGCAGGTGGGGTCCCTTAGCCTGGCCTGTGGGGATCGGGCTGAAACTGGCTCTCCAACATTCAACCAAGGGGTCCCAGAGTGCGAGAGGGCACTCTGCAAAGTTGCTGTCATTCACAAACACAAGTCTGCAGTAAACCAGATGGGGTACCAACAGTACCCCAGAAACAACATAACCCACGGCTGAAGGTGGAATTGTGCAGCCCCATGAGGAATTGGGCTCCCTCCTCTCTGGTTTCTGAGTATGTCACCCAAGAACCACCGCTGCCAAGTCACTGCAGCTCAACAACTCCTGCGTTGAGTGTCTGCCCCCTTGTAGTCAGTGCGCGTCATAGCTACCAGTCGGACAGACACTTAGCATATTAGCCTTTTATATATATACTAGGGGCCCAGTGCACGAAATTCGTGCACTGAGTGTGTGTGGGGGGTGGGGGGAGTGTCCCTCAGCCCAGCCTGCCCCCTCTCACATACTGGGAGCCCTCAGGCGTTAACCCCCATCACCCTCCAATCACAGTATCGGCCCCTTGCCCAGGCCTGACGCCTGTGACAGAGGTGTCAGGCTTGGACAGGGGACCCCCATCTCCCCCTGATCACTGGCTCTGGCCCCCGCCCAGGCCTGAGGCCTCTGGCCCAGGAATCATGCCTGGGCAGGGGACCCCCATCTCCCTCTGATCGCTTGCTCCACCCCCCGCCCAAGCCTGATGCCTCTGACCCAGGCTTCAGGCCTGGGCAAGGGGACCATCATATCCCCCCAATCCCCGGCTCTGCCCCCCACCCAGGCCTGATGCCTCGGCCAGAGGAGTTGACCCTCATCACCCTCCGATCACCAATCACCGGATCAGCCCCTTGACCAGGCCTGAGGCCTCCGGCAGAGGTGTCAGGCCTGGGCAGGGGACCCCCAGCTCCCCACGGTTGCAGGCTCCGCCCCTGCCCAGGCCTAACGCCTCTGGCCTAGGCGTCCGGCCCAGGCAGCGGGGACCTGCAGTGGCAGCGGAGGGCGCCGTGATCGCGGGGGCTCCGCCCGCCCCTGCAGGACGCCTCTGGCTGAGGCGTCCGGCCCAGGCAGCGGGGACCCGCAGCTGCAGCGGCCCCGCGATCGTGGGCTTCGCTTTAGGCCCAGGCAAGGGACCCCTAGCTCCCGGGACTGCCAGCTTCGACCTTGCCCAGCTCCCATCGCTGGCTCCACCCCTACTTCCTGCTATCACTGGCCAGGGCGGAAAAGGCGCCTGATTCTCTGATCATGGCTGGGGGGCAGGGCCTTTGCCCTGCCCCCCAGCTCTTAGCTCCCCCCTGGGTTTCCGATCACTGTCAGTGGCAGGGGGCTTCTTCCTGCTTTCCCTTTCGCCTCCCTGCATTGTGCCTACATATGCAAATTAACCGCCATCTTGTTGGCAGTTAACTGCCAATCTTAGTTGGCGGTTAATTTGCATATAGCCCTGATTAGCCAATGAAAAGGGTAGCGTCGTACGCCAATTACCATTTTTCTCTTTTATTAGTGTAGATTTCTGAAAGTCTTTGCCAGAGCAATCAGGCAAAAGAAATAAAAGGCGTCCAAATTGGGAATGAAGAAGTTAAAGTGTCACTCTTTGTAGATGACACAATTCTGTATATTGAAAAGCCTAAATACTCCACCATAAAAACTATTAGAAACAATAAACAAATACAGTAAAGTTGTAGGATACAAAATCAATGAACAAAAATCTACTGCTTTCCTATATACTAACAATGAAACTTCAGAAAAAGAAATGAAACAAAAATATTCCTTTTGCAATTGCAACAAAAAGAATAAAATATCTAGGAATAAATTTAACAAAGGATGTGAAGAACTTATATACTGAAAATATAAAACATTATTAAAAGAAATTGAAAACTACATAATGAAATGGAAAGATATTCCATGTTCAAGGATTGGAAGAATAACATAGTTAAAATAGCCATATTACTCAAAGCAATATACAGATTTAATGCAATCCTCATCAAAATCCCAATGTCTTTTTTGTTGTTGTGAATCCTCACCCGAAGATATTTTCTTCATTGGTTTTTAGAGAGAGTGGAAGGGAGGGAGGAAAGGAGAGAGAGAAAGAGAGAAACATTGATGTGAGAGAGACACACTGATTGGTTGCCTCCTGCACACACCCCAACCAAGGATCAAATCTGCAACCCAGGTACATGTCCTTGACTGGGAATCGAACCCGCAACCCTTTGGTGCATGGGCTGATTCTCTAACCACTGTGCACATGGGCCAGGGACCCAGTGTCATTTTTAAAAAATATATTTTTATTGATTTCAGAGAGGAAGGGAGATGGAGAGAGAAATAGAAACATCAATGATGCGAGAGAATTACTGGTTGGCTGCCTCCTGTACACCCCCCACTGGGGATTGAGACCACAACCTGGGCACGTGCCCTGACCAGGAATTGAACTGTGACCTCCTGGTTCATAGGTCAACACTCAACTACCAAGCGACACCAGTTGGGCCCCAATATCATTTTTTAAAGAAATAGAACAAAAAATCATCAGACTTATATGGAACCACAAAAGACCTAATAGACAAAGCAATCCTGAGAACAAAGACTGAGGCCAGACCTATCATACTGACTTCACATTATACTAGAGAGCTACAATAATCAAAACAACATGGTATTGGCAGAAAAACAACACACAGACCAGTAGAACAGAATTGAGAGCCCAGAAATAAAACCACATGTATATAGGCAAATAATTTTTGAAAAAGGAGCCAAATCACACAATGGAGAAATCAAAGCCTCTTCAATAAATGGTGCTGGGAAAATTGGAAAGCCACATACAAAAACTGAAACTAGATTAGTTTGTCCCTACGTACAAAAATTAGTTCAAAATGAATCAAAGACCTAAATATAAGACTTGAAACAATAAATTGCATAGACGAAAACATAGGTACTAAACTTAAGGACCCAAATCTTAGAGAACATTTTTTTTTTTTAAATATATTTTATTGATTTTTTACAGAGAGGAAGGGAGAGAGAGATAGAGAGTTAGAAACATCGATGAGAGAGAAACATCGACCAGCCGCCTCCTGCACATCCCCCACTGGGGATATGCCCGCAACCCAGGTACATGCCCCCGACCGGAATCGAACCCGGGACCCTTCAGTCCGCAGGCCGACGCTCCATCCACTGAGCCAAACCGGTCTCGGCATCTTAGAGAACATTTTATAAATCTGACCCCAAAGGCAAGGGAAGGGCAAAAGCTTCTGCACAGGAATAGAAACTTCCAACAAAACAAAATGCAACCAACCAAATGGGAGGTGATATTTGCAAACAGCAGCTCCGACAAGGGATTGATATCCAAAATACATATATAAAGCACTCATACAACTCAACACCAAACAATCCAATAAAAAAAATGAGCAGAAGACGTGAACAGACACCTCTCCCAAGACGACATACAAAGTCCAGAAGATATATGAAAAGATGTTCAACTTCACTAGCTATTGGGGAAATGCAAACCAAAACTACAATAAGATACTACCTTACACCTTTTAGAATGGTTACTATCAACAAGACAGATAATAACAAGTATTGGTGACAGAACACGATTTGACTGTGGGTGGTGGGCACACAATGCAATATACAGGTCATGTATCATAGAAATGTACACTTGAAACCTCTATGATCTTATTAACCAACTAGAGGCCCGGTGCACGAATTCATGCACAGGTGGGGTCCCTCGGCCTGGCCGGCAATTGGGGCTGATCGGGGTCATCTTGCCCAGTCCCTATAGGGGCGATCGGGGCCAGCCAGCTGGGAGGGAGGGATCGCAGGAGGTTGGTCCGCCACAGGAGGTTGGCTGTGGGAGCGCACTGACCACCAGAGAGCAGCTCCTGTGTTGAGCATCTGCCCCATGGTGGTCAGGGCATGTCATAGCAACTGGTTGACTGATCGTTCTGTCATTCAGTCATAAGGGTCACTTAGGCTTTTATATATATAGATGTCATCCCAATAAATTTGACCATATTTACATGAATTTAATATAAACTTGTTAAACCCCTATTTGAAGAGATCAATGTATACAGTGAACTCTTAGCTGGATATTTACTAGTCCATATACATAGCATAGTGTAAATTAACTCTATTCATTATTCTGACCATGAGGCAATGGCAATTCTGAATATATGAGTAGTTGTAGTGTTAAAGTATTAAATTCTTTGAGGTGTGACAAGCATTTAAGTTCAATACTTTAATTCCCCAGTGATGCTAGACAGCAGAGTTTAAAGCCATGATTAAGCAACCTAAAAATTTTACACTTCAATAGTATAGTTGGTGTGTATACTGTCTTAAAATTCAAGGTCCAAACATATAATAAAAGTATAATAAAGAGAAGACATACCACAAAGCAAAAAAAAAAGCTAATTTTTGCTACTTGAGTTGCAGTAAGTTTCCCCACAGTTTTGAGTATGGATTCTTGTTCTTTCACAGTAGGATATGACATGCGAGACAACTTAGCTTCCAATGCATGGCTTGATGGAAGCTGTCGAATCTCCATGATATTACTGAACCTTACACGAGACTTTTTGGGAGCTTAAAAGAAAAAGTATAGTACAAATCATTAAACGTTTCTCCTCACATCCAACAAAAGTCACATTTTAATTTACTAATAAAAGCATATTATTTAATCCATCTATGACCAGACTTGAACAGTCAAAGAAAAACCATTTATATCATCACCTGAGGCAGCTTTGCTCATTCAAAAAAGTAAACAGAAAAAAACGTTTACATCTATAAAAATGTTTTAAAGGTTTAAGGTACGACCAATATTCAAACAAGATTTCTACAACTGTATATATACACAACTGCCTAGTTCAGGATTATAGTATGATTAGAGGCCTGGTGCACAAAAATTTGTGCACTCGGGGGGGGGGTCCCTCAGCCCGGCCTGTGCCCTCTTGCAGTCTGGGAACCCTCGGGGGATGACCACCTGCTAGCTTAGGCCCACTCCCCAGGGGATTGGGCCTAAGCTGGCAGTCAGACATCCCTCTGGCAGCCTGGGAGCCCTCAAGGGATGTCCACTTGCCAGCGGGGAGCAGGCCTAAGCTGCAGTTGGACATCCTTAGCGCTGCTGAGGAGGCGGGAGAGGCTCCCACCACCACTGCTGTACTGGCAGCCATCAGCCTGGCTTGTGGCTGAGGAGAGCTCCCCCTGTGGGAGCGCACTGACCACCAGGGGGGCAGCTCCTGCATTGAGCCCCCTGGTGGTCAGTGTGTGTCATAGTGACCAGTCATTCCCAGTTGTTCTGCTGTTAGGGTCAATTTGCATATTACCCTTCTATTATTATAAAGGATAGAGGCCTGGTGCATGGGTGGGGGCCGGCTGGTTTGCCCTGAAGGGTGTCCCGGATCAGGGTGGGGGACCCCGCTGGAGTGTTTGGCCAGCCTGGGTGAGGGGCTGAGGGCCGTTTTCAGGCTGGCCACACCCCTTTCAGGGAGGGGCGTCCTGCTGGGGTGCTTGGCCAGCCTGGGTGAGTGGCTGATGGCTGTTTGCAGGCTGGCCACAGCCTCTTCAAGGTGGGGGTCCCCACTGGGATGCCTGGCCAGCCTGGGTAGGTGCTGAGGGCCGTTTTCAGGCTGGCCACGCTCCCTTCAGGGTGGGGGGGTCCTGCTGGGGTGCCTGGCCAGCCTGGGTGAGGGGCTGATGGCTGTTTGCAGTCTGGCCACACCCCCCAGCCATCCAAGCTCCCAGGGGAGGCTGGTTGGAAGCAGGTATCTGAAATTTATTTATCTTCTATAATTGAAACTTTGTTGCCTTGAATGGAGGCCACAGCCGGCCAGAGCAGACGGGAAGCTTGGCTTCCTCCATATCCGGGGCAACCAAGCCTCCTGCCTGCTCCAGCTCTGTGGCTGCCGGCCGCCATCTTGGTTGGGTTAATTTGCATACAGTCTTCTGATTGGCTGGTGGGCATGGCTTGGGCATAGCAGAGGTACAGTCAATTTGCATGTTTCTCTTTTATTAGATTAGATTATTATTTTAGCATTTATAGTAAAACTTTGGATTTTCCCTCATAGATAATCAATTTATGAGAATTAGTTTCCATTCAAGAACTCAGAATATTCCTCTATAGGGCCATTCGTTGCAAAAGAACATTATGGATAAATACTGTGCCTTATGTTGAAGCTGGCATTCTTTACTAAATTCACAGAACCAGCAAAATTCCTATAACTGGCTATCAAGTTTTTTTGATGGCATGGTTGACGAGAATATTGTTCATTAAGAAAAGAAGTATATATATAAAGCACAGAGACTTCTGGTATTTGGAGATTATTTCCAGTTGAATTAATAAAAACTCCAGTCATACTTCTGGAAGACTACAGGCGGTGAAGCCAATACCACCTGAACAGACAACTGTCAAGTGATCTCAAAAATCACTAAGTTTTGGGATGGCTTGAATGAAGCTAAGATTTCCACCCATATCTAAGATATGAAATTCTAAGTTTTGCTTACTTTTTTCAGTATCAATATTTGTGTTCTCAGGTTTTTCACTGGGAAGATCATGAAATTTCACAGGAACATACAGAGGTTCACTCTGGAACATACCAGAAACAGAAACAAACATAAACAAATATGTAATAGCTGATATAGTGGTAAAATTTAAGTGGACGGTTTGTAGGCACAGATACCACTCAAAACATGGCTGTTCACCACCATGTTTTTACAGCATAATTTACCCAAAATGCATTTTCAAGACTTAAAGGAGAAACTCAAACGATGCACATAGGTACAATGACAGAAAAGTTTGTAAGTTTGTAATGACAGTTTCAAGTTTGTAAGTGTAATAATACCGCATTGGTATCTTATAATACTTAACATTTAAATGTCATAAAAGCAGACCCATCTCTCAATTAACAGATTACCTCCCATTCCTTTTCAGTCATTATTTTAATAAATACATGTTGAGTCCCACTATGTCAGGTGCTGTCCTACTTCCTGAGAATATAAGAGTGAACGAAGTGTCCTCAGTGATCATATAGTCCAAAGGGGAAGGCAGACAGTGAACAGATAATCAACTATATAATATGTATATATATTTGCCAAGTTGTTTTCTCTTATTACTTAAGATTCAAGTAAAACCAAAAATTCCTGAAAACTTTTTTAGCATTAATAGATACGAAAAAAAAAAAAGCTACAACTTACCAGTTCTTGCTATGTACCAGGTACCAAGTCCAGAGCAGTTCAACATACATTTCTCATCAGCCCTTGAAACTACCTTATAAAATGGTATTTTAAATAACTTTTCTAGAAGCTGAGATATAATAACCCAGGGGTAGACAACAGAATTAAGCCAGGTTTGTCTAACATGTTCTAAAGATCGATATTTTTAAGTCGTTTCAAATTCAACTGTTTTTGCAAAAATTGTTCAGATAATCCATATTTAAAAAACAATTCTCCAACCAAGCTGTTTCTTAAATTAACATAAAATTGTGTTTTATATCTTTGATTTCTCTTTTAACTCCTGGTATAGAACTCCACCAATAAAAATTATTCAGTAAATGAAGAGACTATAGAATCTGGAAATAGATGTAGTCTCTTGTTACATTGAACTTTTCATTACAGCATTTGGCCTAGAATGATTTGACATATCCATCTTAAAGATAATAGCAAAAATTAGGAGAAGAGCCCTAACCGGTTTGGCTCAGTGGATAGAGCATCAGCCTGCAGACTGAAAGGTCCCAGGTTCAATTCCGGTCAAGGACATGTACCTTGGTTGTGGGCACATCCCAGTAGAAGGTGTGCAGGAGGCACCTGATTGATGTTTCTCTCTCATCGATGTTTCTAACTCTCTATCCCTCTCCCTTCCTCTCTGTAAAAAAAAAAATCAATAAAATATATTTTTAAAAAAATTAGTAGAAGAGTAGTTAGAAGAGTAGGCTGCCATCTTAGCTCTGCTTTCTACACTGAAAGAGACAACTGATAATACTTTGTTGATGCTTATGATCCCAGGCAAATGAGATGACATTTTCCCTAAGCTTCAAAAACTTTTCACAGCACCTTGTAACCTACCCTGAATACAAATGTAGTTCTAGAAGCCAGACAAACAAAAAACCAAGCTAATGCATATAAATTTGTATTAAATTTTAGAGCAACTTTAAAATTCTTCTCAGACAAAATGCCACATTTTGAACAATACATTAAAAAATGTTTTACTGATGGTCTAAATAAATATTTTAATATATTATCTCTCCAATGAGATTATAAATGCCTAATATAAGTAAATGCATTACTTTATCTGCTTATTATCTGTCTCCTTCTCCTTTCCAAACTTATGCTCTCACTACTAGAATGTAAACTATATTTCCAGAGTAAAAAACAAGTGCTTAATACAGATTAAGCACTCTTAAAAAATTTATGGGACTAATGAAAAATTTCCTTAAAAATTCTCAGTGTCAAGCAAATACATGTGTTTCTAAGTGATAATAATCCTATATAATTGATGCACACTGACCACCAGGGGGCAAACGCTCAACACAGGAGCTGCCCCCTGCTCCCCACCGGAAGCAGGCCTAAGCCATCAGTCGGACATCCCCCAAGGGCTCCCGGACTGGGCCCCCGCCCCCCAAGTGCACGAATTTCATGCACTGGGCCTCTAGTATAATAATAAACACGAAGTGACAAAGCTTTTAAGAAACAAAGGGCTGCCCATCACTATTTTCACTTCTTAACTATTTCCCTCCCCATCTCTCCCCTGTAGTAGTTGAATTGCTTATTTTTTGGCTCCGGGTGTCCCTAAAGAAAGAGAGTACCAAGCTAAAATAATCATGGAGGACACCTAATATTTATATATATTCTAATGTAGCTTTGGTGTTCAAAGCTATTCAGTCCTTCCCACTACGGTTCACCTCCCTCTGCTCCATTCCTGACAAAAAAAGAAGCACTTACCAAAGAGCTATTCATAGTTGTATCTGTTGTGCAAGCAGCAAAATAACCTTCAGCATCTGCAAACTACAGATAACAGGACAAAAAATTCAATTAAACTTGTGATAAAGTAGGACTAGTGTCAGTCACAGCTTAAAAGAATAGAAAAACCAGAGTAGATCTATAATAATATAACTATTATTAACAATAATAGCAGCTAATGGTCAGTATTCAACCATGCAAGGTTGGTATTACCTTCATTTTAAAGAAACTGAGACTGAGAGATTTTATCTAAGTAACAAGAGTTAGGATTAAACCCAAGTTAGTCTAACTCCAAAACGTATGCTCCTTTCACAATACTATTATAATATTTCAGATTAGCAGGGAAAGGAAAGTGAGTGGTTAGTCAAAAAGACAAATAACATCTTCGTATTATCATGATAACAGTATTAATCAAGAATTCCCTAAATGGATCTCAGCGGCTGGACCACGTTCTGAGAAGCACGGTGCTAGTGGTGTATAAGCAGGCTTTTATTCATACCCACAGCTATCCTATCATTATCCTTGCTTAGTCGCTAGAGGTTAAATAACTTGCCCAAGGTCAAACAATCAGCAGTGACAGAACAAGATTCAAATACAAAGCCCATGCTATTAAGAATGCTTGTATATCAATAAGAAAAAGTCAATGTAGAAAAATGGACAAGATATATAGACAACTGATAAAAGAATTCTATTGTGCAACAAACATATGAAAGAGTAACCCATACCATGCATACTAAACAAGATGCCACTGATCACTTAATCAAGTTGGCAAATGTTAGGGTTTTGGTAAGGATTCAATCTCATATACTGCTAACAGAGATATAAGTTAGGTATAACTATAAGACTAAACTTATTTCTGCTATAAATAATTTTAAGTATTATTACATAAATATATAGCTATAGAAAATATCAAATATTTATAGTGGCCTTAGAATGGTGAGATTGTGGATAAATTATTCTTGTTCTTCTTGTTACTATAATTTGTCTTCAACAATGAATATTTATCACTACTACATTCAAAAAATCTTTAATATTAAAGAATGTTCTAGTAATACGAAATTACATAGAAAGTTGTTCATGATAACAAGTTATAAAACAGGACATAACAGTAAATTTCACTTTTGTGAAAAATGAAACAAATGCACACATGAAAAAAAAACTGCAGGATATATGCCAAAATACTGTCAATGAATGGTAGAATTCATTCCTTGAATGGTAGAATTATTCCTTGAATGGTAGAATTTATTATTTTTTGACTATATTTTCTAAATTTTTGATAAGGTACATGTATTCATATACATATAACATCCCTACATGTAATACTATAATATATATACGTTTCTATAATGTCTATATATTCCTCTTAAAAATAATATATATGCACACACTTTTTTTCATAAAAGTTAAATTTTTGTGCACATATAAGTGTATACTTCCAGGCTTTACCTCAAAAAGTTACTGAAAAGCCCCTGATAAAAATCAAATGACTGTATTTCTCAAGAATGTACTCATTAGATAAGACAAGATATAATAGTATTTTAACCTACACAAAAAAATAGCAGACAAAAGAATAGGAGTGACAGAGACAGAAAGTAAAACAGTACTAACCAGGGAAGGAAAGGAGGAGGGACATGGGAGTTGTTTAATAGGCAGTGTTTCTGTTTGGAATAATGAAAAAGTTCTGGAGTGGATAGTGGTGATGTTTGCACAGCAAAATACTTACTGCCACTGAACTATATACTTTTTAAAATGTTTCAAATTGCCCTAGCTGGTTTGGCTCAGTGTATACAGCGTCAGCCTGCAAACTGAAGGGTCTCAGGCTCAATTCCAGTAACGGACACATGCCCAGACTGCGGGCTCGATCACCAGTAAGGGGCATGCAGGAGGCAGCCAATCAATGATTCTTTCTCATCACTGATGTTTCTATGTCTCTCTCCCTCTCCCTTCCTCTCTGAAATCAATAAAAATATATTTTAAAAATAAAATAAAAATGTTTCAAATAGGAACTTTTGTTTTATATATATATATATATATATATATATATATATAATCTCCCACAAAAAAGGGAAAAAGAAAAAAATGGTTAAGCCCTAACCAGTTTGTCTCAGTGGAAAGAGCGTCAGCCTGCAGACTCAAGGGTCCCAGGTTCGATTCCGGTCAAGGGCATGTACCTTGGTTGTGGGCACATCTCCAGTAGGGAGTGTGCAGGAGGCAGCTGATTGATGTTTCTCTCTCATCGATGTTTCTCACTCTCTATCCCTCTCCCTTCCTCTCTGTAAAAAAATCAATAAAATATATTTTAAAAAAAGGTTAAAATGATAAATTTGATGTTATATTTTACCACAATTTTAAAAAGAAAAGGGAAGAGAATAAAAAAATTTGAGAGTGTTATATTCTTCATTCTCAAAACTTCAGTTTCTATTTCTATGAATCAGCACTGAAAGAACATAATTTGATGAGCCAAACATCTGAAACATGCCCTGAAATATGCTATTTTCATTTTAACAAATAAACCTTGAATAATTTTGCTTTTACAATCAATGGTATAACCAATTAGATGATAATCATCCAGTCTACAAAAGATCAGAGATCCAGATATTACTCTTCTTCCTTACTTTCATCATCATCTCCACATTAAATGATTTAGGCTAGTTCAAAAATGTTTAACAACTCAGAGGATGTCATGAGATAAAGAAAAGAGGGTGATTATATCCCTTTGATTTCTCACAAGATATTCTGATACGAAGGTGATTAAAAGAATACATTTAAAGTTTTGGACAAAAGTAGGTTTTTCTTATAATATGCTATGTTCACTCACTTAACTGAACAACTGAAAATTGGACTGTCCTTCAAGAAACTAATACATCTTTAAACTTTGAAAAACTATATCTGTCTCCAACAAACATTTAAAATTGAAAACTTACAAAAGCAGCATGCTTTCCTCGAAATCCTCTTGTACACTGTTGTCTCCATGGCTTCCAAATAATAAAGCCCAAAAGGTACAGAACAAACATCGACGTTTTTGCAAAGGTGCTGAAGAATGGTTTATTGTACTGAGTAAAAACATACTAGAGAGAAAAAAGTTACATAAACTATGAGATGACTTTAAACCTAATTACTTATCTCCAATAAAACAAAGCCATTACATGATTTTTAACTCTAAAAGTTCATTTGGAAAAGAAAACTCTAGAGGGATTATAAAAATGTTTTAGATTCATTTCTGAATATTATATAGAATTTGCCTTGAAAAAAAAAAAAAAGGATAATATACCCAAACAAAGCATGAACAACTTGGCAAAAACAAGTTCTATTCAACATTCACTGAAAACCTACTATGCAATAGTGTTTATGCTAGAAGCTAAAGAAAAATAAGACAGGCTTTCCTGAAAAGAGAGCACACATCATAACGTGCTAAAAACCATGACAGGGGTATAGAGGGTACCATGGGAATAGCAAAGGAGACAGGCCATTTTAAAGGTTATGGAAGTTTCCTAAAAGAAACTATTCTTGCGCTGCCTGAACAGTTATCCCAAAGTAACAGGCAATGAAATGGAATGGTGTATGAAGAAAACTGCATGAAATTTAAAGTTATTAGGAAATTATACAAAATATGTAATCTTTGTTTAAACTGGAAATATCAGTATGGACTCATGATGTTTCCTTTCCTAAAAAAAGTTTTAGTTATCTGCACTGAAAGACCCAGAAAAAATGGCAACCCTGGAGGAATGGGCACTTCTAGAATCCAGATAGTGATCTGAACCATGCGTTACTGAAGAAATGACTACATCCATGTATAGGGCAGGAAATGTACCAGATGAGCCTGGGGTATCTTGTGCCAGAAAGCAGATAGGATGTTAAAGATTAAAGGGATCATGTTAAAAGGGTATTAGAGACAACAGGAAGGGGCTCTTAGTGGTCAAAGATAGGAAACTTTAAGTGTCAAAAGAAATAACTACAACTGTTTGAAGCTTCAAGTATACAAAAATCCATGAATGTATAAAGATACTCAAAAAACCCTCAATAGTTACCACTGGAAGTTGCTAGGCAACATTATTTTAAAATGGATAAAGGAACAGAATCAAGATTTATCCAACATTTTTTCTATAAACCATGTTTCAGGATAACCAAACAATAGTTGTGAAAAAGTCTTCCTTACAGAATTCCAGCTAATAAATGCAGAAGGAATGACCCTTAGAAAAATCGCCACTTTACCACTTCTAATGAAATACCCTATCTGGGCAATAATCATAAGGATATTCAACTATTACTTAGAGGTTGATAAGGAACTTTATAGTTCTCATACTAGCATTACCTATGGTAAGACTTGTGGCCATTATGTGCCTCATGTTGTGATATGCAAGGAAGTGCCCAGTACTACCAAGGTATTTTTTCCTAAATACTGAAACTGAATCAAATCAAGACTGTACATCTATCTACCATTTTATAGGAAACTAGAGGGCCAGTGCATTGATTCGTGCACCGGTGGGGTCCCTCAGCCTGGCCTGCGGGGATCAAGCTGAAACCAGCTCTCCGACATCCCTGAGGGATCCTGGGTTGCAAGAGGGCGTGGGCCAGGCCAAGGGACCCCACCAATGCATGATCCGGGCTGGAGAGGGACCGCAGGAGGGCTCCAGGACAAGTCCGGCCTGTCTTGCCCAGTCCCGATTGGCTGGACTCCAGCAGCAAGCTAACTTACGGGTCAGAGTTTCTGCCCCCTGGTGGACAGTGTGCGTCATAGCGACTGGTTGAACAGTCGAACAGTCAGACATTTAGCATATTAGGATTTTATTACATAGGATAAAAAAGAGGAGCAAGTTAAATGACACCCCAAGGACGCAATCAGTCAAATCCAGAATGTGTTATGGACTAAATGCTTGGGTCCCCCCAAAATTCATGTTAAAATCCTAACTAACCTCCAATATAGTGATATTAGGAGGTGGGGCCTGTGGGTAGAGCCCTGATGAATGAGATTAATTCCACATAAAAAGAATCTAGAGAGCTCTGCCTTGTGAGGACACAGTGAGAAGACTGCCACCAAGAACAAGGAAGCAGCTCCACACCAGGCAGAATCTGCATCTTGACCATGGTCTTTTGAGCCTCCATAACTGTGAGAAATAAACGTTTGTTGCTTGAGCCACACAGCCTATGGTGGTTCTGCCAAAGCACCCCAAACAGACTGACAGTGTAATCCATCCTACAGGAAAAATGATACAGTTTCTCCAACAAATCAATGGCATGATAAAGGGAGGGGCATAGGGGAATACAGCAAAAGAATAAAAATGACTTAAGAATTATAACAAATGAAATGTGTGATCTTTTGTTTAGATCTTAAACTAAAAAAATGTCCTTGACATAACCAAAGAAATTTAAATATGGACTGGATATCCATATTTAAGGAACTGTAGTTAATTTTGTTAGGTATGTTAATAGCATGGTGATTATATTTTTAAAAATTAAGTCATTTTCAGTTTGAGATGAATATAAAAGAATTTTTACATGAAATCAGAAGTTAATAAGATCGGCAAAATTTGACAGTTGTTAAAAGTAAATGATGGGCACATGAAAATTCATTATACTTCTTTCTACTCTGTGTATATTAGATGTTTTCCATAATAAAAAGATTGATTTTCTTTTTAAAAAATATTTTTTTTATTGATTTCAGAGAGGAAGGGAGAACGAGAGAGAGTTAGAAACATCAACGATGAGAGAGAATCATTGATCAGCTGCTCTCTGCATGCCCCTCACTGGGGTTCGAGCCACAACCCAGGCATGTGTCCTGACCGGGAATAGAACCGTGACCTCCTGGTTCATAGGTCAACGCTCAACCACTGAACTGAGTCACACCAGCCAGGCTGATATTTTTTTTTTTTACATATATAATTTTTAATTTCAAAAGTTTGATAAGCATATCTGTACTGAAGAATTAGACACATTACATATGCTCTTGGATAATGAAATTATAAAATATCCTCTTAGTAACAGATTTTACTTTTTAAAAAATAGGGACACACACACACAAAAAAATAGGGACAAGTTTTTTGTGTTTGTTTTTTACTTTGCTTAGATATGGATTGCTAAATTATAATTTAATCAGGTGCTCTTTTGCTGTAAATTTTCTTGCCTGATAAATAAGAAACCAAACTACTTAAAACTAAAATAAAAGTTTAACACCCAGCTGGGTTAAGCGCCCCCCAGACTGTTTTGTCTTCTGGACAGAAAGCATAGTGTCAGTCACTGGTGATTGACTGGCGCTTAACGTGTTAAAGATAGGCTTATTTCTCTGTCAACATTAAAGAGATTTTTTTTTGTATTTAAAACAGAATATTAATCTAAAAAGAAGGTTATAGAAGAGTGAGGGGTATAGAAGAATTAAAAATAAATGGCCTGTTTTACTCCAGAGCCTAATTCCAAAAAGACTAAAAATTTATTTATTCATTAGATACAATGTCAATGGCAACTATTTACTTAGCTATGATGTGAGATGACCAGTAGTATCAAATGGCTTCTTCTGACATTTCAGGCCATTTTATAAATGCTAGTTTATTTTTGTATATTAGCCTTGTGATTGCAACATGCAAGTTTAAATACAGTAATTTCTGAAAATAAAATTGCTTGTCTTTTTATAGGGATCACTAATCAAATAGAATAAAGTAACTGCACAAGTAGAGAGAAAAACTAGCTTGTGAATTCAAAATACCATGATACTGCCAATAGGTCATCAATAAAAAAAAAAAAAAAAAATACAGCCATAGCTGGTTTGCCTCCTGGATTGAGCATCCATCGGCCTATTGGACTGAAGGGTCCCGGTTTGGATTCCAGTCAAGGGCACATGCCCAGGTTGCAGGCTCCATCCCCAGTAGGGGGCATGCAGGAGGTCGCTAATCAATGATTCTCTCTCATCAGTGATGTTTCTATCTCTTCCTCTCCCTTCCTCTCTAAAATCAATAAAAATATATTTTTAAAAAATTTAACTAAAGGCAATCACTGTACTTTATAGTAATGTTTGAATCAGCAGATAAAGGTACATGCAACAATCGTGCCTGTGCACAACAGTGAGCTGTACATTATAACTCTGATCACTTCCACTCATTTGTCCAAAAGCATTCTTACATTCTACTAAATGGTGACAAATGGTTTTGCATCCTAGATGGCTGTTCCCCTAAAAATAGCATTTACATAGAAATAAACTGAACTTAGAAACAGACACACACACACACAGCTTCAAATATTAAGAAAATATGCATATACTCGCTTTCTAACAACCCCTAAAAGACACAAGAAACTTGTATGAAACAACAAAGAGTATCCTTTCAGCTTCAACTTCACTCTAATTCAGTATCAAAGAAAACATAAATAATTCAACCATATTCAAAACGCTGCTTTCAGTGAGCATGAGAAGAGAGTAATGACTAGAGATCCGACAGAGGAAGAGGGATGTCGTCATTACAATGGAGCATCGTTCCAAGGCCAGCGCCACGTACCGAAGTGAGTTCTGAGGATGCGACCCAGATCACATCCACGAGGAGGAGAATGACGATGCCCAGGGCCATTCGCCGGCGCTGCGTGAAGCCACTGCTCTGGGCGCTCATTCGGTTCATGATACACACACACACCATTTGCAGTCTGTTTAGAAAACAGAGAGGATTCTTTAAAAAAAAAAAAAAAAAAACGAGAAAATTCGTAGGGCAGACACATCGGACACGTGTTCCGGTCTGCGGTCTGGACGTCACACCGTCACTAAAGGGCTCGGCTTACCTTCTCTTCCAGGCCTTGCCGAGGTCCTCCAGAGCGGCGCCTGCAAACCTGGCAGATCTGAGTCTAAACGGCGGCGAGGAACTCAACGCACCTGACGGGAGGCGAAGAGCTCAGAGTCAGGGTCAGCGCACCTTCTGTGCCCGTCCTTAAAATGAACGCAAAGAAAGGAAATGCCCAAGTGCGGCCCACCTGACTGGCACTCCTCCCCAGACTTCAAACTGTCATCAGAGAATTACACGGCACAGAGCACAGAAAATAAATGAAAAGGCGACCTTCCGCACAGCGCACAGCGCACAGCCGGGCGCTCCCGGGAAACGGCGTCGGTGAACCGCACCGACCGAGCCCGCCCCCTCTGCGGGGAGCCCGCCCCGGGACAGGGCGGCTTCTGCGCGGCTTCGCTGCCCCCCGACCTCGAGCGGGGTTCGGGCGAAAGGGAGTCGTTTGTGGTGAGTCCGGGGCGCGTTTCCAGGCGCTCACGTGGTAAAGGGGAAGGCTCCTCCGCCACCCCGTCACTCTATCTAGACATTTAAACCGAAATGGCAACGCACAGGAGCAGAGAGGAAACAGCTGTTGCGGGGAACCCGCCTCCTTTTTCGGAGGCACAAGTGTGGGGCAGTGACGCCTCCCGGGGAGCGTCCACGTCCCGAGGTGGCGGCGCTTGGGCAGCTGCCTCGGCGGCCGGAGTCGCGCCCGCCGCCCGCCTCCCCGTCGGGCCGCCCGGCAGACCGTTAACGGCGCTTCGGCCGCCGCCCAGGGCGCAGTCGTGGGGCCCTGCCCGCCTACCTGGCCTTCCTGCCCAGCGGAGGCGTCGTGGCGGCACCATGAGCGGACCGGCCCGGCCCTGCCGCCGCCCAGCGCCACGGCCACGGCCTCGGACTCACGGAGCGGTCGCGGCGCCCGGCATTGCGCCGGCCGGAGGCCCAGCCCCTGAAGCCGCGCTGCCCTCCGAGCGAGGCTGCCGACGCCGCCCAGCTCCACGGGGCCCGGGAGGGCGCGGAGCGGCGAAGCGAGGGGACCACGCAGGCAGCGATGGCCGCGGAGCCGGGAGCTGGACCCTGTGCCGACCCCACCCCCAGCCGGTCGGTCCCTCGCGGCCCCGCCCCCCCCCCCGCCCCACGGCGTGGGCGCGTGATTACGTCACGGCGAGGCGGTGGCGGACTAGGGGGTGTGTCCCACGTGATTCGCAGCGCTGAGCGGGGCGCTGCCGGCGCGGGCCGCCCAGGAGGAGCGGAGTTAGGGAGACGGGGTGCGGGGCGCGGTGGAAGGAGAGAGGGGAGCGGGCGGGCGTGGCTGGGCGGAGCGTAGGGCAGGGGGAGTGGCCGAGCTGCTCCTTGACCCCAGACTAGGGCAAGAGCTGTCAATTGTTTTACAAAGTTCCGCCCGGAACTCTTCACATTCCTGAAAGCAAAGTGGCTTGGGAGGATCTTTGCTTTCTGGAACCTTTAGTGTGTAAACTGGGTCCCAGCTGTTGGAGTTAGAGGCTGTACAGCTTCACCTCCCTGGCCCTCAGTTTCCTCATTTGAGAAGTGGGCATAATGATAGTGCCTGATATATATATATAATCCTGATAAATATAAATATATATATATGTACACATATGTATATATAGTGCCTGATGTATATGTAATCCTGATATGTGTATATAGATATATATATATATATATATATATATATATATATATATATCAGGATTACATATATATATATCAGGATTACATGTGTACAAATGTGAAAGGCTTAGATAGTTCGTGGCCCATAGTAAGAACTCCACAAATGATGGTAATTAACTATAGATTTTTTTTTTAACCATCTTTTGACTATCCCACAAGAAATAAGGTTTGGCCAGCATACTAATTTATATTTAGAAAACAAAAACGAGACAAAAAGGTTCTGTAACTTAACTTTTGTAACATCTTTATCAGATGATGGGAAGAAATTAAATTTGCTTATAGCTTATATCTGTAGTCACCTTTTAAACCTTGGTTTTCTGAAATTGAATACATATTCAAATGATAAAACCATACCAATGGACTTTTTGTGTTCATCCAGTAAATTATCAGCATGAAGTATCTCTAATCGTTCAGAAATCTATCATGTAAAATAGAAAAAATCTTAACCATCTACTTGAATTACTAGTTAGGAAAAATTTGATTGTATGACATTATTTCAGCATCTGTTTTACTCTTTCTTTCATTAACTTTCTTTAAAGTGTCAGGCTCATACTATGTTTAAATTATTTTGTTACATTTATGATATGTAAACTGAAAAAAATTTATATATATAAAAGCCTAAGTGAACAAACAACCGGTCGACTGATTGCTATGACACGGACTGACCACCAGGGGACAGACGCTCAACACACAGGATCGGGCTCTCTCCTGTCTGGATCAGGCCTGCAGGGATCAGGCAAAAACCAGCTATCCAACATCCCCCGAGGGGGCCCGGATTGCGAGAGAGCGCAGGCCAGGCCAACGGACCCCACTGGTGCACGTATCTGTGCACCAGGCCTCTAGTAATAGCATAATGAATAACTCCCAGTATCTAACAGGAACACTAGGTTCTAATTTTTAATCTGACCACAATTTGTTAATGTAATCTTGAGGATTATTATTCTCTACTTTGCCTCAATTCCCCTTCTATAAATATGCTGATACTGTTATGTTTATAAATAATGCAAATGATAATAACTCTGAATGGAAGTCCTGCAGCTAGAGAAGTAAAGAAGAAAGCACATGGAGACTAGTAGAAGGGGCAGAGGCATGGATGGGATGGCCCGACACCAATGTGTGGTGTTTTGTTTTGTTTTGTTTTCAGGAGGGTTATGTGGCTCTGGGGGCCTCCTGTGAGGAGCAAACGGACCCATCCCACACCAGACCCCCCAGCCCAGGGTTCCAGAGCTGGGAAGAGAAGTCCCTATAACTTTGGGCTATAAAAAACCAGCAGAGATTGTGGCTGAGTGGCACAGAAGCTGCTGGAATCACAGGGAGTTCCCTTAAAAGGGCCAGTGTATGGACTTACTCGGACTTGATCCCTCTGAACTCCAACTCTGGGGTGATGGCTTGAAAGGAACCTGGGACATTAGGGGAGGAACTGATCGTCTGGCATTAGAGCAAGAACCCTCGGGGGTGGCTTCTTCCCAGATGGGTGCTTGCAGGTGTCATTGTTCCTATGCTGAGACCTCCCCTGTCCCAGAGCTGACTGGCAGCCATATCTGAGTTTCCATAAGTGTGGCTCGCACTGTTCACTCGCCCTGGTGATTCCCCGAGGCCCCACCCCATCTAATTTGCAGCCCCACCAAAGCTGTTTGCAACAGCTTTTCTATATGAATGGCCTCTCCTGGTTCAGGCTTCAGACTTTCCTAAAATCTCTGAAACAAGCAGCAGCTGACTTTGGAGTGCCCCATACCTATCAATAAGAGGCCCAAAACCCGGTACTAGCACCAGCCTGCCTCACCGGGGCAATTCTAAGCCCAATACAAGTAGCAGCCATCTGCAGATCTCTCTGTAACTCCTACCAGGTGACGCTAGGCAGTGAATTGGTATAATCAACATCATTAAAATGTCCATACTACCCAAAGCAATCTATAGATTCAATGCAATCCTTATTAAATTACCAATAGCATATTTCACAGACCTAGAACAAATACTCCAAAAATTTATAAGGAAACAAAAAAAGACACTGAATAGCCACAGATATCTGGAGAAAGAAGAACAAAGTTGGATGGATCACAATACCAGCTATCAAGTTATACTACAAAGCCACTGTAATCAAAATAGCCTGGTACTTGCACAAGAATAGGTATATAGATCAATGGAACAGAACAGAGACTCCAAAAATTGACCTAAGCCATTATGGTCAAGTAATATTTGACAAAGAAGGCAAGAGCATACAATGGAGTCAAGACAGTCTCTTCAATAAATGGTGTTGGAAAAATTGGACAGATACATGCAAAAAAAATGAAACTAGACCACCAACTTATACCACACACAAAAATAATATCAAAATGGATAAAAGACTTAAATGTAAGGCATGAAAACATAAAAAATCCTAGAAGAAACCATAGGCAGTAAAATATTAGACATCTCTCATAGCAATATGTTTGCTGATTCATCTCCTAGGGCAAAGGATATTAAGGAGAAAATAACAAATGGGACTACATCAAAATAAAAAGCTTCTGCACAGCAAAAGAAACCATCAACAAAGTGAAAAGGGAGACCACTGTATGAGAGAACATATTTGGCAATGATACATTTGATAAAGGGTTAATAAAATACATAAGGAACTTATACAACTTAACAATCTAATTTAAAAATGGGCAAAGGACCTAAATAGACACTTCTCCAAAGGAGACAATACAGATGGCCAAGAGACATACGAAAAAATGCTCAAAGTCACTGATCATAAAAGACATGCAAATTAAAATGACAATGAGTTACCATCTCACACCTGTCAGAATAGCTGTCATCAACAAATCAACAAACGACAAGTGCTGTTGAGGATGTGGAGAAAAGGGAACCCTAGTACACTGCTGGTGGGAATGCAGACTGGTGCAGCCATTATGGAAAACAGTATGGTGTTTCCTCAAAAAATTAAATAGGGAACCGCCATTTGACCCAGTGATCCCACTTCTAGGAATATATCCTAAGAAACCCAAAACATGAATCAGAAAGAATGTAAGCACCCCTATGTTCACAAAAGCATAATTTACAATGGTGAAGATCTGGAAACAGTCCAAGTGCCCATCAGTAAATAAGTAGATAAAAAAAGCTGTGATAGCCAAAACCGGTTTGGCTCGGTGGATAGAGCGTCGGCCTGCGGACTGAAAGGTCCCAGGTTCAATTCCGGTCAAGGGCATGTACCTGGGTTGCGGGCACATCCCCAGTAGGAGATGTGCAGGAGGCAGCTGATCGATGTTTCTCTCTCATAGATGTTTCTAACTCTCTATCTCTCTCCCTTCCTCTCTGTAAAAAAATCAATAAAATATATTTTTTTTAAAAAAAGCTGTGATATATTTACACCATAAAATACTGTTCAGCATTAAAAAGAAGGATCTCTTACCCTTTGAGATAGCATGGAGGATCCTGGAGAATATTATGCTAAGGGAAATAAGCCAGTCAGAGAAAGACAAATAGCACATGATCTCAACTCATGTGTGGAATCTAATGAACAAAATAAGCTGTTGAACATAATAGATCCAGAGACATGGAAGAGATATGTGATCTCAGAGGGAAGGCAGGAGTGGATGGGTGGTTTAGAAGAGATCAACCAAAGAACTTATATGCATATATGCATAACCCATGGACACAGATAATAGGGTGATGGAGGCCTAGGGCATCCTTTAGAAAGTGTTGCAATACAGGTTTGTAAAAATGTGTGTATATATATATATATATATATATATATATATATATATATATATATGTATATGTATATATATATGTATATATGTATATGTATATATGTATATATGTATATATATATATACATAAATACATATATTACTATTCTAGTAATCATATATATATTACTATTCTATATATTTTACACCATAACTTTATAACACTGTAATCCTAGTGGCTCTGAAGAACAAAATGTTATAGAACTATGACTCAAAACATATTATAAGTCTGCAAAGGCATTGATTCCTAGCATGGGCCCTTCTATGTCAATTGATCAAAAAGTATTTATTGATGCTCTTTTGTATAACCAGAGCTAGACAATGTGGGGGAATTTATTGACTCTGCA